AGTCCCTTGCCCGCGAGCTCGCCCAAGGAGTACCTCGTCCGCCGACAGCACCATGCCCCCTGCAGCTGCCAAGCACATGACCGCCGCCTCGGTGGCTACCCGCACCGAGCGCACAACAGACGCACCAGACTCTGCAGCCATGTTACAAAGAACGGTGTCAAGATGAGTGGCGTCCTGGCTGGCTGGCTAGCTGGCTGGCTGGCTGGCTGGCTGGCTGGCTGGCTGGCTGGCTGGCTGGCTGGCTGGCTGGCTGGTGGTGGTGGACGACTAGCCAGTTTGCCACTTCTCCTCTCCGACACCAACCATGTCTTCGTCGTCGTCGTCGTCATCGTCGTCGTCGTCGTCGTCGTCGTCGTCGTCGTCGTCAGAGGCAAAGGCTTCAAGCTCGACGGGTGCATCGTCTGCATCGTCTGCGTCGATCGTTGTGGATACCGAGCCGGTGAACAAGCCGGAAGTGGCGGCATCATCATCGTCATCGTCGTCGTCTGCGGTGTCGTCGTCGTCGTTGGCTAGCAGCTCGTCTTCGACCAGCACGTCTAGCTCGGACTCTGAGGCCAATGCAGCAAGCAGCGAGAGAGTCCGGAGGCGTATTGACCCAGACACTCGCGAGTACCTTGCGTACATGGCCAAGGTCGCCCAGGACGGCTCGTTCTTTGAGAACAACCCCACCCGTACGTTGCTGGCTCTGACCGCCATGGATGGCACTCGCCATCCTTTCCGCATCCATCTTTTGGGGGAGGAGGGCCAAGGAGGGGGGGGGAACAGAGGGTAGTGGAGGGCAGGGAGGGAAGGATGAAGGAGCGTAACGACTCACGGAAGGGGGGTCGGATGGTATGCGGGGTACAGAACGGAGGCTGATGCTTGCTCAGGTGATGCGGACGGTGCGGAAGAATCCCAAGTCGATCATGTGTGACGCTCTTGCTTGTCGGGATCTGGAGACCATTCTGGGCGTGGCGCCGGCGTGGGTGGTAGTCTCGATCATGGCCTACATTCGTGGACACACCGCGCCTCTGGTCAAGGATCCACGTGCGTCGCACGTGCTCGAGTTTATGATGCGCAAGGTCCATCCGTCGGGCGACGCGTTCGGTGCTTCCATCCAGGACCTGTATGCACAATGGCAGTCAGATGTCCGCGGCCCGCGCAAGCGCCGGTCGGGCTCTGGCTCTGGCTCTGGCTCTGGTTCTGGCTCTGGCTCTGGCTCTGGCTCGAGCACCGGCTCTGGCTCTGACTCTGGCTCGAGCTCGGATCCTGATCCTGGGACGGCGGCGCCTCTGATGCGCGAGGAGAAGGCGTCGACGTCGATGCTTGTGCTTGTGGCGGGGATGGTGGACGAGTGGGCGGCGCGGATGGGCGAGGTTGTGCGGGACGCGTCGGGTTCGCACGTGGTGCGCACGGTGGTGGAGCTGTGCTCGGCGGACGGGGCATCGGACGAGGCGCGTAAGCTGGTGTCTAAGGTTGTCAAGGCGCTCACGCCTGACGACGCGCCGTTCCAGCTTGCCAACCTTGCCGTGGACACATACGGCTCACCGATGCTGCAGTACCTTGTGGAGGCGCAGTACAGCAAGTCCAAGAAGGAGGGCGACAAGATTGTCAAGAAGATTCTGCTGTACAAGGCAGGCGGAATGGATGCCGAGGCGGCGGCGGCGGCACGTGCCAAGCACGTGCCGGGGCTTGTGCAGCACCCTGTTGGCTCGCACTTGATGCAGGCGGTGCTCAAGGCCGGCTCGCGCGAGATCCGGGAGCTGCTCTGGGACGATGCGCTGCAGTCGATGCTCGCCGAGGCAGTGACGTCACCGACGGGCAACTTTGTGGTCCAGTCGCTGCTGGAGGCAGTCGGGCCGTCCGAGGGCGCCATTAGCTCGGCGCTGGCGAGCAAGCTCGCACCGCAGGTCGTCTCACTGCTGGACACCCGCGGCGGCGTTGTGGTCGCCCTCCTTGACATGATTGCGCGGGTCGACGGCAGCGCCGGCGCCGTGAGCGACGGAATCAAGACTGAGGTGCTCGAGGCCTTTGCTGCCTGGGGTGCACGGTTCAACGAGGGCGTGCCCGAGGCCGACCACGTGTCGTGGGTGGCGTGGCTGGCGGTGGACCAGGGCGTGACTCGTGAGGCGACGCTCGCCTCGCCGCGGGTGCACTATCTCGGCTCGCGGATGGTGCAGGCGCTGATGCGGTGGCGTGGCATCGGCGGCAAGGATGCCGAGTGCCCGGTGGCAAACGACTTTCTCTCGCTCCCGACCTCGTTTGTGGTGGCGCTGGCGTGCTCGGCGGCCGGCTCGCACATCGTGGACGCGTTCTGCACCTCGGATGCCGTCCCGCGCCACCTCAAGGGCAAGCTCGCGCAAAAGTTCAAGGAATCGTGGGTGACTCTGGCCCAGGACAAGTACGGCTCGCGCGTCCTCGACACCGTTTACAAGTCGGTCGGCATGCGGGTCAAGGAGCTGATGGCCCGCGGGCTCGCTGACCACGAGGTTTCCCTCTCGTCGTCGTACTTTGGCAAGTTCATTTTGCGGACCGCCGCCATCCGGCTGTTCAAGACCCGGCCTGAGGACTGGGCTGTCCAGCAGCGCGCACGCGAGGCCGCTGGTAGCAGCAAGGGCGCACGCGGCACCTCGTCGTACGTGCCCAAGCCGTATGCCGCCGGCAGCGCCGAGCCGCGCAAGCGCAAGCGCAAGACCAACAACGGCGTCTCGCTTGATGAGTATCTCACCCGAAAGAAGCAGAAGCGCTCGAAGCGCAAGTAAAGGCCGACGCTTCGTCTGCTCAGAACTGGCTGTTGTTCTTGTGCTTCTTGCGCTTCTTGCGCTTCTTCTTCTTCTTGCCGTTCTCGTTGGCATCGTCGCCGCCGTCGGCGGCGCCAGCGTTGGCAGGAGCCGGGGCAGGGGCTAGGGCGGGGGACGGCTGCGGCGCCGGGCGTGAGACAGAGACCGGGGACACCGGCTGAGCCTGATCGGGCGAGCCGGCCTTGGTGAGCGAGCTGTTCGAGGCGCGAATGTTGGTCAGTGTCTTGCCCTGCAGTGATTTGAGGTGCGCAAGACGCTCGGTGCGTGAGGCGGCGGCATGCGAGTGCTCGGCGGCAGCGTTGGCAGCCTCGGCCTGCAGGCGGTCAAACTCGGCCTTGCGGGCGGCGAGCTGGGCCTGCATGTGGCCGTCGAGCTCGTCGATGGCAGCCTCCATGTCTGCAAGCGAGAACTCGTGGCGTGTCTCCATGTCCTCGATGAGTTCGCGGCGGCGCTTGTGGAATGCGTCTTCGTCGGCGCGGTAGGCGGCAAGGAGCTTGGCACGCTTGGCCTGGATGGCTTCGATGCGGCCGACCCGCTCCTCGTAGGCGTCGACAAGCGAGATCTTGTAAAGTCTGTCGATTTCAGCCTGGCGGGCCCGCTCTGCGGCTGCAGCAGCCGCGCGCTCCTCCTCGATCCGGTGAGCTTCGCGAAGCTTGGCGCGGCGGGCGTCGATCTGCTGCTGGCGCTTGATGCGCGCAGCTTCGGCGCGCTCTTCGTCGCGGCGCTTGGCAGCCTCCCGGCGCTGGTGCTCCTGCTCGTCGTACCGCGAGCGGACTCGGGAGATTTGTGTGTTGAGCTCGTTGGCGGCGCGGCGAGCCTCGGCGGCCTGCTTACGCTTGTGGGCCTGGTACGCGGCCTCGCGTTCGGCCTCACGGGCCTCAAACTCGGCCAGCTTTGCGGCGTGCGCAGCTTCGCGCCGGCGACGGTGCTCGTCGACGAGCTCCTTCTTCTTGGCCTCGCGGTTCTTGGCCTGGAGCGCCGCGGTCCGCCGGGCCTCGCGGGCCTGGAACACATTGCGGTCTGAGGCCTCGATGCCCTCTTTGAGCTCGGCGAGTCTCGCCTGGTAAAATGCCTCCTTGTCGGCGGCAATCTGAGCCTCGCGGGCTTCACGGGCGGCGCGCTCCTGAGCCAGCCGCTCGGCGTGTTGCTTCTCGCGGGCCCGGCGCTTGGCCTCACGCTCAGCCTCAGCGGCGGCCTCGGCTGCGAGGAGCTCTTTGCGGGCGCGCTCGCGCTCGACCCGAAGTCGTTCTTCCTCCTCACGGGCCTTGGCAAGCTCGCGCTCGTAGGCGGCGGCCTGGTGGCGGAGCATGGCGGTCTTGGACGACTTGGCCTGGGCAGCGGCCTGGGCGAGAGCAGCCTCTTGCCTGCGGCGGGCCTGTTCCATGCGCTCACGGCGCTGGACCTCTTCGCGAGCGCGCTTCTTGAGTGAGGCGCACATAAAGGCCATGCGCTTGGACGTCTCGCCCATGTCCGGCACGATGCCGAGGCCGGGGGTGCCGACCCCTGACGACGGCGAGGCCGCGCCGGTCTGCCGCTGCGGGGTGACCGGCGAGGCCGGCGGGCGCGAGGCCTTGCGTGCTTCCCGCGGAGGAGCAACTTCCGGATTCTTTCGCGCCGAGCTTGGCGTGTTTCGCCGGCTGCTTGCTTTGCGCATGTCAAGGACGACCGAGGCCGGCGGATGACTCGGCGTGTGTGTGGCCGATGTGAGGGCTGGCGAGGCCGGCGGCGGGGACGACAAAGTAGTGGGCGCCGGTTGAGCCGGCTCTGACCCAGCGGCCGACGCCGGGCGCGGCTTGTTGCGTGGAGTGCGATGGCTGGGTGTTGGCGCCGGGCCTGATGCCGGGACCGGTGCGGTCGGCGGCTCGGGTGGCGGCGCGTACGGTGAGTCCTTGTTGCGGCGAGCCGAGCGCTTGCGGTGCTTTTTGCGCCGGCGCGATGGCGAGGTTGCGTCCGGATCCGGGCCATCTGCGGCGTTGCGGGTGGCGAGGTACTGGGTGACGACAGGCGAGTCGTCGCCCGAGGTGACCGGAGCGAGGAGGGCGACAACTTGCTCGTGGCCCTGGGTGATGGCATAGAAGAGGGCGGTATGTGCGGTTGCAGTCTTGATGTTGGGGTCGGCGCCTGCGGCCAGGAGAGCAGCGACGACGTCTCGGTGGCCGTTAAAGGCGGCGCCGTGAAGGGCGACGACGCCCTTGGCGTTTGGCACGTTGATGGACGCCCGCGCCGCTTGCGGATACTCATCGAGTAGCATGTGGACTAGAGCATCGTGGCCCTGGAAAGCAGCAAAGTAGAGCGCCGTCCCGCCGTTCTCCGAGTGGGTCTTGAGCGAGGCGCCTGCACGAAGAAGGAGGCGAGCCACTGCGGTATGGCCCTGGGAGCAGGCGTAGTGTAGCGGAGTGGTGCCGTCGACGGAAGGCACGTCAACATTGCGCGCGACTGCCGGAACACGAAGCAGGGCAGCGGCTGCCTCGTAGTGGCCCTCGTGCGAGGCGCAGTGCAGCGGAGTGAGGCCCTCGTCGTCGGCCACGCTCGGCGAGGCGCCTTCCTTTAGCAGGATGCGCAGCGCGTCCGACGCACCGTACCATGCCGCATAGTTGAGCGGTGACCAGCCGACCGAGTCAACGGCATCAACATCACCGGCAGTACCCGCCCGTAGCAGCGTAGTCAGCAGCTCGGCGTCGTTGCGGACAGCTGCCGCATGGAGCGGGCCCATTTCGTCAACAACGGCCGCTGCGCCTCGAGCTGGCGACGCCGTACCGGAAGCCCGCGCAGGCGACTGTCCAACCTGCTCTTTGCCATCCCCACTGCGCTCACTGGCCTTCTTGTGCTTCCGCTTCCGCCTGCGATGCTTGCCGCTCATCCTGGGCGTGGGGTGTTGGAGGTAGTGTGTGATGTGTGTGTGTGGAGGAGGGGGGAGGGGGGGGGGAGCAGCGGGTTTAGGGCGTTTGGGGGACGTTTGGTGCGATTGGGAACGAATGGGCTGAGGAGAATGGCGGAGACTGACAGTGGCAGAACTCTGACGGCTTGGTGAGGTCCAGTTCGAGCACACCACTCGTGGTACACAGACAGACAGACCATGGCCTTTGTAATGGATTGGGTGTACGGGGCGCTGTCCTTCCTGGGTACGTAATTGCTATGGTGTGGGAGGAGTTTGTTCCCCCCCCCCCCCCTCCCTCCCCTCCCTTCCCCCCCTCCCCTTGCCTCCCCCCTTTTGCCGAGTGTTCCACCACGTCGCCAATGACGAAGATGGGCTCTCCTCCTTTCCTGGTTCACCCCCCCCCTCCTCCCCCCCCCTTCCCCGTTCCGCTCTCCCTACGCATGCGTGCTCTGAAAAGACAGGCAGGGAAGAGTGGCACATGCAGAAGACCAAGGGTCTCGTTCAGGGAGGGGAAGCGGAGGTGGTTTCAAGCCTGGGCGTGGAGCAGGGCGGGTAGGGCGTGCGGCGTGGCAGGGCGGCGACCGGGTGGGCTTGGAGGTGGCAGCGGGCGGAGGGGCAAAGCTTGCCGAAAATTCTGCAGGACGACGACTGACAGAGAACGAGGGCTGGGGCGTGTGTGACGGGTACGGGATGGGGCATACGGCTGTCGGTGGGGTTGGTGGGTGTGGGGGGTGAGTAGGGCTGTACCAGAAGAGCGCCAAGATTCTGTTCCTGGGCCTGGACAATGCCGGCAAGACGACGCTGTTGCACATGCTCAAGGACGACCGCATGGCGATCCACCAGCCGACGATCCACCCGACCATGGAGGAGCTCAACATTGGCAACATCAAGTTCCGCACGTTTGACCTGGGCGGGCACACGCAGGCCCGGCGGGTGTGGCAGGACTACTTTACCACCGTCGACGCCGTGGTCTTTCTTGTCGACGCCTCGGCCGCGTGGCGGTTCGAGGAGTCGGCCACCGAGCTGCAGTCGCTGCTCGGCTCGGACGAGCTGGCCGACGTGCCGTTCCTCATCCTGGGCAACAAGGTCGACATCCCGGAGGCCGTCTCCGACGAAGAGCTGCGCTTCCAGCTCGGCCTCTCTGGGCTGACCACGGGCCAGGACGGCGGGGACCTCGGCGGCGTCCGACCCATCGAGGTTTTCATGTGCTCGGTCAAGATGCGCCAGGGCTACGGCGCAGGCTTCAACTGGCTCGCCAACTACCTCTCGTGATTGCCTTCTCTAGCTTTGCTAAATCCTCCTCGTTCTTTCTACTAACCCCCCCCCCCCCCTCTGGCCGTTACCCCCAGCGCGCGGAGGCGAGTGTCACTGACGGATTCCCCGCGACATGCGAACGCATTCCTCCCCGCCCCTCCCTCCCCCCCTCCTCCCAACGGCAACGGTGCCCGCGTATGGCACCTGTCTCTCCCCCTCCCCCTCTTCCCTTCCTTCCCCCACGCCTTGTCTTGGCTTTCCCTTACACGTGCGGACTCTGGGCTGGGCGACATGAGTGACCATGGCGTGCCGGCGGTGCCGGACCATGTCGAGCACCTGCGGGCCGAGCTGGCGGTCGCCGAGCTCCGGGCCAAGTTTGAAGCCGATCTGACAACTAAGGTAGAGTGCGAGGGTGTGGTGCCGCGGCCAGAGACGGCGGTCCGCCGGACGCGGGCCAACTCGCTGCTCCCATCGCGCCACAAGATCCATCGCGACGAGCTGGAGCAGAAGCAGGCCGAGCTCGAGGCGCGGCTCGACGAGCTCAACGACGGCAAGATCCATCGCCAGCAAGAAGTCCGGTCTGCACGGGCAGGATCAGTGCTGGAGGAGGCCAAGCTGGCTGACGCCGTCGAAATGGTCCACGCTCAGCTCGAGGCCTTTCGCCGCCAGACCTCGCAGTCGCCGGCCACCCCGGTTACCGATCGTATCCGGAGCGGCGTGCCAACTGGCCGCCGCCGCTCGATCTCATCGCCGTCCAAGCCCATTGGGCGGCGCAACATCACACCAGTCTCTGCCAACGTTATGGACAAAATCAAGCTCGCCAACGCCGAGGAGTCGGTCGCCTCGGCCACCGAGGACTTTCGCAAGCAGCTCGAGGCTGCCAAGCGCGCGCAAGCGGCTGCTGAAGCTGAACGCGCCGCCGGCGCCGGCTCTAGCGGCGACGGCTACGAGGATGCCGACGAGGATGAGCTGTGAGCCACGCTGGATCTGGTCCTTGCTCTGGCTCGCAAGCTGGAGGCGGTGCAGCCTCCCAGCTGGGCCTGCCCCCAGCCCTTGTGTTCCTTGCCGTGATCATCATCATCATCATCATCGGGATGCTTGATGCTACCGCCGCACTGCAGTTCCCCCCCCCCCCCATCCACCACCACCACCATCGTGCTAATACCCTCTCCATCTGCAAACTCATGGCCTTGATTCCGCTCTTGCCTCACTCGGACCCACTGGGCTGGCACATGCGTGCCTTCCCCGCTGCCCACGCATGCCATCCATCATGACATCTTTGCTTCGAAAGCCTCTCCCCCCGCCCCCCCCCCGCCTTGCTTCCAGCAGTCGCACTCATCTTCACCTCCACTCATCTCGTCTGTAACAAGCCATAGCCATGGGCATGGTAGACACGCTTGTGCTGCGTGGGCTGTACCCGCTGCTCCTGGTTGTGGCCTGGGCGGTCAAGTGCAACGCAGTCGGCGGCATGCACCTGCTGGCCACTCTGGCGTACTTCCCGCTCCTCGCCGCCCACCCGCAGAGCCTCATCGCCCAGCTGCGACATGCGAGTGTTGTGGCAAGTGTGGCGGCCCTGGCCCTCGTTGTCCAAGCTGCGTTGCACATTGCTGGCGCCGCTGGTGTCGACGACCTCGCGCCGCACGCGCCGCACGCTGCCACCCTCGCCGCACTCGGCTACGACCCGTCGTCAGCAGGCGGCGCTGTTGCAGCGGCCTTTGCACCCGATCTGGCGCTTGTTGTCTGCATTGTCGCGTACCGGATAGCTCGCGGCAGACCAGGAGCTGACGGACGAGAGCGGGTACAGTCGGCGGTGCTCAACGCCCTCGTCTCGACGCTTGATGGTTCGGCGGCGACGTCTCCGCTTGCGCACTCGGTTGTCGCTTGCATCGTCGCCGCTGCGGTAGCGCTTCTGTGGCCGTCGGCGCTGGCGGCGCCTTACCTCCTTGCGGTGGCTTGGACGCTGCTGCGGTGGTCTTCGCCGGCCGGGAGCCTCCCGCTTGGATCATGGGCGGCGCTCATTGTCGCTCGGCTCTACGTCACGCTCCACGGCATCGCGCTCTATGCAGCGCAGTTCCCGTCGCTGCCAGCGTCTGAAGTCCGCAACACGCTTGGTCTTGTTCGCCCGACCGGGTTTTCAAGCACCTTTCTCCCTCTCTATCTCTCGATGGCGTGTCTCCTGCTCCTGTATGCGGTGCTCACGTTCTGGAGCGCAAAGGTGAGTCGGCGGGCGGCGCGGGCGGCGGCGCCGGCGTCGCAGCGAGTCCCGCTCTTGCTGGGCTCGGACGAAGTGTCGGACGGGACCGACTCGGAGCTCAACGCTCGGATTTCGCGGCCGCCGCGGTCGCGGCGCTCCGGGCTTCTCTGGTTGCCGCTGCGGTTTGTCTTTCGCCACTCGCTCAAGGTTGCCATTCTTGCCCTGCTGGCGTCGACGCTGCTGTTCCCGTCTTACCTTGGCGTTCTCTTCCTCGGCTTTGTCATGATGGGCTTTGTTCTGCCCAACAAGACCTTTGTGCTCTTTGCACAGCCGCTCGCACTGGCCCTCGTCGGCGTCCTCCTCGGCCTCTATGTGTACAACATCCAGGGCGTTTCCGAGTACTCGTATGGCGCGTGCTCGGATGAGTCGCTGCAGGGTGACGCGAGCCGCGAGTCGGCGTGCGTGGCATACACAGCATGCGTGTGGTGCCCAGATGCACTGGCTTGTACCGAGAAGAGCTCGTTTCTAGCGAGCAACTCGACGTGGTGTGGGAGCCCAGTGAGCGGTGTCGGCATCCGTGACCTGGCATTCCATCGCGATCCGCTGGCGACTGCTGGACTCAAGGTCTGGTCGCTTCAATGGCGATGGCTCCCGCTGACTGGTTATCTTATCACAGCGTGGCTCATGGCCCTTGCTGCGCACCTCGAGCCGTACATTTTGGGCGAGTCTGACGCACCGCCGTTTGCCACCCAGAGTGCACGTGCGCGCCGGCCAGATTCGGCCGGCGACTACCTGTTTCTGAACGAGCGAATGCCGGCTGGACCTGAGCCGCCGTCGGCTCGATCGGCGTGGTCGGTCACGTACGACTCAGTCCGATACACGTTGCTGAGCATCGGGCGACTCTGCCTCGAGCACGCGTACTTTTTGGCCCTCCTTGCGCTCTTTGTCTTTGGCCTCGCGCGCGTCTCGTACATCAACGCGGGATACATGCTCTTTTTCATCGTCTTTGTCATTTCGCCCGGCGTCGCGCGTTCATGCTGGATCGCACTTGTCATCTACACCGAGAGCGCGATTCTGCTGGTGTACTTTTGGCAGTTTCCGGCGACCGACGACGTGTCGCGGGAGACGGCCGACGACATTGGCGTGGCCAACCTGAGTCAAAAGTCGGTATCGCTCTGGGCCGAGCTCTCATGGCATCTGGCCATTCTCTTCTTTGTCGTTCTCCAGCACCATGCGTACGTCATGCTCGACAGGGTGGAGGCCAAACTTGAGGCGCGGGCAAGAAACGCAACGTCCGCGGCCGCGCTCCTCATCTCACCCATCAACCCCAGCGCGGGTGCGGGAGCAGACACAGGCACTGTGTCCGAACATGATGATGGCGCCGAATGCCCGGCGTCGGGCGCGAGCAGCCGCTCTGACGCGTCGTATGAGGATCTTGACGACGAGGCCGGTGGCAAGAAACTTGGCCTGTGCTCGCGGGCGGAGCTGCCGCGACTCGCCCGCGAGCTGCTTGTTGTGCTTATGGCGTACTTTCGCAAGTACGGCATGTGGATCTCGTACGGTGTTCTTGTGGTGGTCATCTTTTTCCGCGCGCGGGTCTCGGTCATCACTCTCGGCTTTGCGCTCTTGCTCTACGCGTGCATTGTGGTGCATCAGCTGACCAAGTCTGCGCACGTGGTAGTCCACAAGCTCTGGTACGTTCTCGTTCTCTACTCGGGAGTGGTGGTCATCGCCATGTACCTGTACCAGTTTGAGTTTTTCCGCAAGCACACCAACTCGTTTGTGACCTCGCTCGGAGCGCAGCCGTCGATCACTGGGCTCACGTACGACGCATCGAGCGCGGCGTCGAGCTCGTCGGCGTCAGCGGCGTGGTACCGGGTCAAGGCCATGTTTGGCTACACGGTTGTGCTCGCGGTGGTAGTGGCGCAGCTGCGCGAGTTCCGCCGGCGAGCGTCAGGCGCGATGCCCGAGCTGGCGGTCCCGATCCCGATCTTTATCAAGACGCTGGTGCGGCTCGGCATGCGGGCGCTTATTTTGCATGCCGACAAGCTGACCATGCTCACCATGTTCTTTGTGGTTGTCCGCGACGTGCGGCTTGCCTCGGTGGTGTACCTCATCTTCCTGGCGTCGATGGTGGTCTTTCCGCGGACTTCGCGCGGCGTGTACGCGCCGCTCATGCTGTGGTGCACGGTGTACTCGTTGGCGCACATGGTGTTCCAGCTGGCGTACGAGGTGGACAAGTTTTCACTTTCGGAGCGGCGGACGCAGCAGGCTCACTGGCTGGGCTTTACACAGCTGACCTCGTCGCAGCTGGTTTGGCACGGTCTCGGCTCGGAGCTCCTGGTCATGACCGCCATTCTCATTCAGCACTACTCGGAGCGACTCGGTGCCCTGCTGACAGCCGCCGAGCGGCGGTGTGCGGTGTCGGGACCGTGCACGCTGTTCATCATTCCGGCGCCGGCGGATGACGAGCTCAACGCGCGCGACGAGGAGGGCAACCGGGTGGAGACTGGCGTCAACAACCTGCTTGTCATCGGCGCATACTATGCGTCGCACGCGTTCCGATGGTGCGGCTACCACGTGGTGACCACTTTCCTGGTCATCGGCTGCTTTGTGCGGCTCGACATCATCGGGCTGGCGTATCTGCTGCTCTGCGGGGTGCTGATGGTGCTCGGGCGTCAGCGTGCTGCCAAGGTGTGGCGGACGGTGCTTGTTGTGCTTGTGCTCGTGCTCTTCTGGGAGTACACACTTGTCCTCGGCCTCCCGGCCAAGGTCTACTGCGAGTCGAGCGTGCCATTCAAATGCGGCCCACACGGCGAGTGCTCGTTCTCGGGCACTTGCGTCTGTGTGTTTGGCTTCAAGGGCGATGCGTGCCAGGCGCGCGATAGCTCGCACGCCGACGACTCGTCGCCGTGGTGGCATGCGCGAACGAGCAACACGCTTGTGCTCAAGTGGCTCGGCCTCTTTGCCTCGTCCGCATCGGCGTCGTACATCGACTTTGTTATTGTGCTCCTGTGGTCGCTCCAACTCCGGGCTTTCCTCGCCGAGAAGCGGGTCCGGCGGCGTCTGGCTCAAGCAGACGGCGTGGTAACTGCCGCCGACTGGGAGCCTCTGGTCAAGAACGACTTTACCGTTGTTCCGCGCTCGTTCATCGATGCCATCCGGTTTGTGGTCATGCGGTTTTCGGTCAAGGTTGCGCTTGCGTTTCTCTTTATCATCGCAACGGTGGAGACTCCGCGGCGCGACGGCGGCGACACCTCACACACACGAGTCGACCTCATCTCGCTTGGCTATCTTGTTTTCTCGCTGGTGTATTTGCACCTTGGTGATGGACTCAACCGGCAGCGGATGATGTACTGGAAGGTGCTGCGACTGTACAACTACACAGCACTGTTGCTGCACGCCCTTTTCCAAACGCCATTTGCAGCGACAGACATGGGCGGCAAGACACCATGGGTCTTTGCCATGGTTGGCTTGCTCAAGCTGGCGCCGCCAAACGGAAACAACATTGCGTTCTCTGCGGCCGGCGTCGGCATGGACATCATCGCCTTTGTGGTCCTTCTCCTGCAGAACACCATTTTTGCGGCGGCCGACTACGACAAGGTTGTGGCGTATGTAGAGCGGAACCAGAGCGGCGCGTACCGGCATGCGGTGGCGCTTTTTGACGTGTACCACGACTCGCTGGTGGCGGCGCGCGAGGAGGCGCGCGAGCAGGCCAAGATCCGCAACGAGCGGCTGCGGGCGATTCGGGCTGACCGTCGGCGTCGTGAGGCGGTCTTTGCCGGCGTCGGCACGGTTGCACCCGTCGATCTAGCCGCCGAGGTGGCTGCCGCTGCCGCTGAGGCGTCTTGCTCGTCGTCAGGCCTCGACGATTACGACGACGCCAGCGGGAGCTGCAGCGGCAGTGGTGACATTGGCAGCTCAACGGCAGTGTTGAGGCGCGGCGGCAGTGGTGGCAGCGGGCTGACGTCGCGCCGTGACCAGCCACTGCTGATGGCGCGTGCAAGTGCGAGTAGCAGCAGGAGCAGTGACGGCGGCGAGGTCGAGCGCGGTGCCAACGACGGAAGCGACGCGAGCGGTGATGCAAACGAGGAGGAGAGCGAGTCGTACTGGGCCATGATTGTCCGGTGGGCGTCGACTGCGCTCGAGCTCTTCATTGTCGCGCTGCTGCGGTTCCCGTGTGACACGCCACTAACCGAGGAGGAGGAGACGTTTGAGAGTGAGCTTGTTGCGCGGACCCGGCTCTCGCTTCAGGCGCGACTGGCCAACACGGCGGAGGCACGTGCCGAGCTCGAGGCATTGGCTGCAGCCGAAGCGGCAGCGGCGGCCGTGGGCGCAGACGAGGACTCGGAGGTCGAGGCGTATGCTGTGTCACGCGCGCGGGTGCTCGGGTATGGCCTGTGGCGTGTCTCTGCGCACAACACCATTTGGATGTGCTTTGCTCTGTTTGTCCTCGATTGTGTGGTGTATGGGTCTGTGGCGGCGATGGTGTTCCCTGTCTCAGCGCTGCTTGCAGGGCTTGTGATGAATCCGCGGCCTCGCAAGTGGTACTGGCAAGCCATGCTGCTGTACACCGAAGTTGTGCTTGTGGCCAAGTTTGTTATGCAGTTCCCTCTCATTTGCGTCGGGTATGAGGACGTGTGGTACTCGCAGCAGCGCGAACTCGTGTACACGTTCAACAGCCGACTGGAGCCTGTTTGCCCGTCATCGTTCTCGGGCGGACAACTGGAGCTCTCGTTGCCCAACATGCTCGGATTCTCCAAGGTGGTAGACACGCGATTCCTTGGCGGCGTAGTGTTTGACTTTCTCATTCTGCTTGCGCTCAACACGCATCGCTACATCCTCAAGGCGCAGGGCGTTTGGGATTTTGACCTGGAAGTTGCGGCGCAGGAGCGCGCGGAGCGGCTGGCGGCGGCGCGTGGTGTCGAGGGCGATGTTGAGGCCGAGACGCAGATTCTGGTCGAGGGCGGACGGCCAAGCCCACAAGCGGCAGCGCGGTCTGCGGCGTCGGGCTCAATCTTTGGCTCTTACTCGGAAGAGGAGGAGGATGAGGATGAGGTGGGGATGAGCGCGAGCGGTGACGCTGAGGCTGGGCTGTGCATCGGGAGCAAGAGCGATGTCGAAGACGAGGATGCGGGGCAGGACGATGACGGCCTGACGGCGAGGTGCGCTGCGGCGCCTGCGGCCGTGGCATCCTTTTCAAGCGGCTCGAGTCTGAGCAGGCCAAGATGGGACGCGACCTGTACATGGCGTCATTCCTCTTTGACCTCATTGGCTTTCTTGTTCTTGTGTTTGGCTGGGGCTACTTTGTGGCGGCCTCGCCGGGATCGGGCTCCGCGTCGTCAAAGAACTTTGTGTCGTTTGTGACGTCGTCGCAAATCCCATTCTCGTTTGTGCTTGTGCTGATGGCGAACTTTGGGATCATGATCGCGGACCGATGCATCTACCTGCTGCGGTCACTCCGTAGCAAGGTTGTGCTGCAGTACGCTGTCGTTGTGGGCTTCCACCTGACGCTCTTTGTGGTGCTCCCGCTCCACAATCGGGCGCCGATTCTCTCGTCACCGCTTGTGGTACTCTTTTACTTTATCAAGGCAGTCTCCTTTGCCTGCTACGCCCTGCAAATCCGGTACGGATACCCACAGTTTAACAAGGGCCAGTTCCTGACGCGGCATGCGGACGAAGTGTACTCGAAGCTGTTTGTGGTTTATCGCGCGATTCCGTTTGTGTACGAGCTGCGGACGCTGCTCGACTGGATTTGCTCGGACACTACGCTCGAGTTTTACCACTGGCTGCGTGTGGAGGAGATCTACGCTAACTTGTTCATGGTCAAGTGCCGAGTCAACTATGACCTTGCACACCCGCGGGCTCCTGGCGAGAAGCAGAGCCGGTCTGCCAAGTGCACGACCGGAGTGTGCCTGTTCATTCTGCTGGCGCTGGTTCTTTGGCTCCCGCTGCTGCTGTTCTCGTCAGCGAATCCCGCGGTGAAGCCGAACACGATCGCATCTGTGGAGATGAACCTGTACGTGTCGGGCTATGCTGCGCTGTGGTCGGGACGGGTAACGAACAACAAGGTGGCCGAGTTGGCGTTCCCGACGGTGCGCGGGCGAACGAACTTTACAGTACTCGCGGAAAGCTACCCGAGTGTGTTTGAGCAAGACGACTTTAAGAAGGACAACGTACAGGTCTCTGTTCTCAACCGCAACTCGAACGGAGTGTGGGGCATTCCGCCATCGTCGCGACTGGGGATGGAGGCGATGCTGGCGCGGTACATCGATGCACCAGACAAGGCCTCACTGCGGCCGCGGGTCTCGCTCTCGATGGCGTACACGCGGCAGCAGACGCAGGCGTCGCGGGTGGTCGAGGCGTCGCAGTTGCACCTGCTCACGCTCGACGAGACGGTGCAGATGTACAACCTGCTCCGGTACGGCAATGTGTCGACAGTGGTGCTCCGGGGCGCGTTTGCGCGGTTCATGCATCTGGGCCCGGACAATCCTGCTGAGGTGTTCCCGTCGAACGAGCGGTTCGACGCCAGCCTCTCGCTCATTGCGTCGGAGGAGGTGGTGACTGTTGACAATCGGACATTTGCGCTCCGTGAGTGGTGGCAGTTCCAGCAGCTGGTCTCGCCCGACTCGATCTTTGTGGATCCGAACGACGGGACCGACTACCGGGTCCAGTTTGTGGCCAAGTCGGACCTCATTGCGGCTGGTTTGTTTGGCTCGTTTGTTTCTGGCGGTGTGCTTTCGCTCTACCTCGGTCTTGTTCTCACCATCGGCAAGTTCCTCCGGGTCTACGTGGAGTCTTCGTCTGCGCGGATTGTGTACGAGGAGCTGAAGCCAAACGTTGAGGCGATTCTGCGGCTGGTCAAGGACCTGATGCTCTCGAGGCAGTCGAACCCACCAGATCTGGTTCTGGAAGCCGAGCTGTACAAGGAGCTTGTGCAGCTGTACCGGTCGCCGGAGGCGCTGATCGAGGTGACCAAGGCCAAGTGGAGTAAACCGGTGAGCGGGTTTTCGTTGCGCAGCACTTGTCTTTTGGCGGGAGGTTGAGGAGGGCTGTTGTAGAGACATGGCGTTGTGGAAGCAGCACTCCAAAGCAATCAAGGGAGCCGGGGCGGCAGCGATCTCGGACGTGCGGTACAATGCGTCGCGACACATGAGCAGTCTAGTGAGTAGCGGTAGCGGGCTGGTGCAAGCTGCGGCGACGAAGGCGGAGGACCTGCAGTGCCTGCGGGCGGCGGCGCGGGGAGACGCGGAGGGGGTGCGCCAGTGGCTCGCGGGCGGGGCATCTGTGGACGCGTTTACAGAGGACGGGTACACGGCGCTGCATGTGGCTGCGCAGGAGGGTCATGCTGAAGTGGCGCGGCTGCTGCTGCAAAGCGGAGCACGGACGCAGACGTTTTCGTCGGGCGGCGACACACCGCTGCATGTGGCGGCGGTGGCGGGCTTTGGCAAGGTTGTGCGTGTCCTCGCTCTCCATGATGCCGCCATCGACGAGCGCAACTCGGAGACTGGCGAGACAGCACTGATGGCGGCGTTCTTGGCGCGGCAGACGGCGACGGTAGCGACGTTGGTCGGGCTCGGCGCCTCGGTTAACGCCCGCGACTCGGAGGGCTGGGCCTTGCTGCACTTTGCGGCGTCGTCCAACGCTGTGGAGGATGTGCGGCTGCTGCTGGAGCTGGGTGCGGATCCGGGCGTGGCGACTGAGGGCGCCGATGCCGGTGACACGCCGCTGCACCTGGCGGTCGGGCGCGGGTTTGTCGAGGTGGCGTGCATGCTGTTGGAGGCTACACCGTCGCCGCTGGAGCTGGTACAGGCGCCGAATAGCGGAGGGCGGAGTGCGCTGCACGAGGCGGCGCTGCACGGTCGGATCCGGTCGATGTATGCTTGCCTGCGGGCGGGATGGGGCGTCGAGCTTAGACCGCTGGTGGTCGAGTTTGAGCGCACACTCGCGGACCCGGACGCCGGCGAGGCCGATGCCGAGCGGCTAAGTGCCGACGACGAGGGCCGGGTACTCACGGCGCTAGCGCTGGCGGAGCTGCCTGTGGAGACGCCGCACGAGCAGGTCCGCGAAGATCGCGACGCAGCAGGCTACACGCCGCTGCATCTGGCGGCGCGGGCAGGTCACTTTGAGACTGCGTTGGCGCTGCTGCGGGCAGGAGCTGCGGTCGATGTTCCACAAGCGCGCACCGGCGAGACAGCGCTGCATCTTGCAGCGGTGGAGGGAAAGGAGACAATGATGGCGCTGCTACTGGCGGCGGGAGCAAGGAGTAGCGTGGCCGACGACATGGGTCACACGGCGCTTCACTGCGGCGTGGCGGCCGGATGCAGTGCCGAGATGCTGCTGAAGCTGTTGGCGGCCGGCGGTGACGTCGACGCGCCCGACAGCCACGGCTTTACGCCGCTGCACATTGCTGCGCTGCACGGGCGAGTCAAGGCTGCTGTGGTACTGGTCAAGGCTGGAGCCAGGGCCGATGCCTTGTCTGAGCGGAACCAGACACCGGCAGAGGTGGCACGGGCGGCCGGCCACGAGCAGATTGTGTTGCTGCTGACGCACGACGAGGAGTAACAGCAGCGCGATCGAAAACAGTGTGTGTATTTGCGAGTAATGAAATGGCCGGAACGCGCGATCACGACGAGGCGTGGTCGACGGGGAGGCGGTACATGCCGTCGAGGCGGGCAATAGCGAGGGTCTTGAGGATGGCGCGAGCTTCTTGGGTGTGGCGGTTGAGCGAGGTGTCGGAGGAGCGCTCCTCGCCACGAAAGGCGGCAGTGGCGTCCTTGCCGACCTCGTTCATGACGGTGGCGTATCCGCCAGGATGCGAGAGGGCAAACGGCTTGACGTCGTAGACGGTGCCTTCGATGACGATGAGGGCTTCGCCGGCAGCGACACGGGCGCGGAATAGGTCGACGGAGATAGGCGGGAGGGCGGGGTCCTGCGGCGGCTGGTGGCAGCAGCCCGTGGCGACAAAGTCGCGTGCGCGGTCGATCTCCTCGTCGTCGATGCGGCGGAGGCCGTAAGTGAGGCCAAAGTAAGAGAGGAAGGCGATGAGCCACTTGGTTGGATCGTACTGGTGGTACTTGATGGCGTTACGGTAGTCGGAGGGAAAGACGTGGTGGTAGTTGTGGAAGCCCTCGCCGAGGGTGAGGACGGCAGTGATGATCGAGTCCGAGGCCGAAGTGAGGTGCGAGAAGGGCTTGGCGCCGACAGTGTGGGCGAGCGAGTTGACGAAAAAGGTGGCGTGGTGAACAAAGACCATGCGGAGCATGCAGGCGTAGAAGAAGGCGCCCCAGGCGTCGCCGTAGGCTGCGCCGATGAGTGTGGGGACAACAATGCCGACGGTGAGGGCGATCTTGACGTAGTGCTTGTGTTGGAAGGAGACCATGGGGTCGTTCTTGAGAAAGGCGATGTTGGTCTTGCCCCACTTGGACTTGTCCATTTGGGTGATCATCCACCCCAGATGCGCCCACCAGAAGCCCTTGTGCACGTTGTACGGATCCTTGGGCGTGTCGGTGAAGCGGTGGTGGAGGACGTGCGCCCGGCACCACCAGGCCGCCGATCCCTGGAATGCCGCCGCACCAAACGCCAGCAGTGTCGCCCGCACCCCGTTGGTAGCCTGGTACGCCCTGTGCGCAAAAAGCCGATGATAGCCTGTGCGTGTGTGTTGGGGGGGGGGGGGGGAGAGGGAAGGGGGGGCGTACCGGCGGTGATGCCCAAGCCTGTGGCAAAGTACCACACAATGGCCAGAACGAGAGTAGGCCAGGTCAGCGGTGTGGTGAGGTAGCCGTAGAGAGCCAAGGCTGGGGTGACGGTGAGGAGGACAGTGTGGAACCAGTTGATGTCGGCAAACTCGTCGGCAGCAGCAGGGTTGGCCGCCGCAAGGAACTGCCGCCGCTGCTCTGTCGACGTCCGCATGCGTGCGAGAGAGAAGGGGGTGGCGAGTGGTATGGGTGTGGGTGTGGGTGTGGGTGTGGGAGGGGGGGGGGGGTGGGGAGGTGCGGGGGGAGGGGGAGGGGGGAACACGTGCCAATGTCGGGCGGCCCTTTTTTGGCGGTGCGTGTGTCACGCCGCTGGCGGCGGGTAGCTGGCTGGCTGGCTGGCGGGAAGAGGCTGGCGGGTTGGTTTGGCTGGCGGCAGCGGAGCAAACAGCGGAGGGGGACCGGCGCCGACATTGTCGGCAGACACTACTCGACTATACGCTCCACCCGCCACCATATTCGACAAAGCTGAGGGAAGATGCTGCGGATGGTTGCGACACCAGTCATGGCGACGATGCGGGGGATGGCGATGATGCGGGGGATGGGCGCCATTGGTGTTAGGCGGGCTGGCGGGCGGCAGGCGGAGTACGCGTCACAGCGCAGGAGCATGGCCGAGGCGGCTGGGCAGGATGCTGCCGGCGGGGAGGGTGCAGCTGCGGCAGGTGGGAGCGCGGGCCCATCGGGAGCGCAAAAGGTGCTTGCCGGAGTCCTGGTGGCCATCTCGGCGGCCATGGGCGCCGCTACGTACCAGGCGCTCAATCCGGAGAAGCCGGTGCTCGAGGCCGAGGAGGGCGTCGACCCGAGCAACCCGTTCCCGGAGCTCGGCGGGGCGTTTGATGCCGTGTCGACGGCCGACGGCGCGCCAGTCGTGACCGAGGCCGATCTGCTGGGCAAGCTCACTCTACTGTACTTTGGCTTTACCCACTGCCCGGACATCTGTCCCACCGAGCTGACCAAGCTGAGCAAGGCGCTCCGCCGACTGGAGACGGTCGAGCCCGAGCTCGCCCGCCACGTCCAGCTCGTCTTTGCCTCGGTCGATCCGCCGCGTGACACCCTCGAGCTGATGCGCAAGTACGTGGCCGGCTTCCACCAGCGGCTGGTCGGCTGGACCGGTTCGGACGAGCAAATGGCCCGTCTGGCCAAGGCGTACAAGGTCTACGTTCGCGCCCTTTCCGCCGACGAGATGGCTGCCGACGACTACGTCATCGACCACTCGATGTTTACCTACCTGGTCTCGCCCGAGGGCCACGTCGTCGAGCTGTTCGGCGCAGACAACACCCCGGCCCAGATCGCCGACGCCATCTTCAAGTGGAAGCCCTCTCTGGCTCTGTGACTGTCACGCGGAAGACCTGCATGCCGTCGCCGGCCACAACCACGGTCCCGCTCTGCCACTCGACCGCAATCGCTCCGACGTCGCCGACGTCGGCGCAGTAGCCTGTCACCCACGTCCACTCACTTGGCGCCTCGCGCGGACTCACCTCGAACACTGCCACGCGCTGATCTGGACCCGACACGACCGCGTACGGCATGGCCAGCGCCACGCCGGTGATGGCCGACGCCGCCGCGCCACTGCATCGCAGCGTCCGCTGGCTCTCGTGCGTCACTTGACACACACTGCCGCCGGCCACCGTCGCATGCACCAGGCTCGCCACCAGGGCATGGTCGTCGCCGCCGCTCGCCACCCACCACGCAAGCGTGCCAGCGGCGGCGTCGTCGTACTCTGGCGCCCGTTCCAGCGCCACCGCGTTTGCGCCGGTCGCGTGCGCCGCAATTGTGACGCCAAGCGTCAGCCCGTCGATTGTGTCGCGATCGACGATAAAGACAGCAAGCTCACCAGAAGTGAGCCCGACAACGGCCAGGCTGCAAGCTGTGCCCGGCACAGCGTCCGACGCCGACGCCAGCGGGCACGATCCGACATCGATCGAGGTCGGCGCGGCCGCGCTCGAGCCGAATCCGCGTGGGCGCCAGTGAAGGATGCCAGTGGCAAGCTCAACTCGCGCTAGCGAGACCCGCGAGTTCGAAGCCGCAACGACCAGGCCGAGCCAGCCGCCGTCGTTGCCGAGCTCATACGCCTCAAGCGCCATGATCCGTGACTTGGTCTGGGCCTTGGGCGCGTGAACGTGGACCACACACTCGTACAGCCTATCGCGTCCGATCCCGCGCTCGCGCCACACGGTCAGCCCGTCGCCGCCACCGCCAGTCGCCACCAGCCGGCCTCTGCTGTGCTCGAGCACCGCGATCGCTCGCACGATCGAGTCGTGCGCGTCGAGGCGTGTAATCGGCTCGAGTGCTCTGCCATCGCCGGCGACTCGGCAGACTTGGACCATGCCGTCGATCGAGCCGGTAAAGGTGTACAGCAAAGCGTCGTCGTCGCCGCCCGGCGTCGCCACAGCAATGGCGCCGATGTTGCGGCCGTGGATCGACGGCCGGAGCGTCCTGCTCGTAACCACCTCCGCCGCCCGCCCCAGCAGCGAAACCGGCGCAAGCTCGGTGACTACGCCGTCGGCGCGGGCAAAGGCGACCCGCCAAGACTCGGCATGCGGCGTGCAGGCGCTAAAGACCGTCGGAGCCTGGTAGCCCGCTGACGAGGTGTGAAACTTGACCAGCGCCGCGCCAGACGTCAAATCGACCACAGCAAACCAGCCGCCGCGATGGCCAGCAACAATGACGTCGCCGGTCTCGGCATCCTCGGCCACGGCCACAATCTCAGTCAGCTCGTCAGTCAGCCGCCACTTGTGCCCGAGCTGGAGCCCGATCGATGCTTGCCGCGAAACGTCGTACAGCTGAGTGGCAACAGCATCAAGCACCCACATGCCGTCGGCGGTCTGTGAGGCGACGCCCGAGTCGACAACAGCGTCGCAGTGGGCGGTAGTGAGGATAAGAGCTGATACAGTGCCATCGCGGCCGGTCGAGTACATTCGAACAGCATCCAGTCCTTGCGGCAGTGGACGAGCCGAGATTGCGAGCGAGGTCACGGGCTTGCCGGCGTGGATGCCGGCGACGGTGCCGGAGAGGCGGCGCCCGTGACGTCAAAGCCGAGCGCACTTGCGTTAACATCGAGCTGCACGGCAGTAACTCGGCCGCGGCAGTCGCCACAGGCGAGCGTCACAACGTCACCTGCCCGCGAGACGGCATGCGCCATACTCGTCACCTTGCGACGATGCAAGAAAGCGATGCGGGCTAGCGGCCGCAACGCCAGCGGCTGGTAGCTGACGGACCAGATGACGAGTACACCATTGGCGTGTGCTATTGCTAGGCCCGGACCCTCACTCCATGCTGAGTTCCACTCGATCCAGTGGACGCCGATGATGGCCGATGCCTCGCTCGCCTCAACAACAGCCGCCAGGGGCTCGTTGCCAGCAGAGATCTGCACGAGGTGGACATCGCCGACCCGATTACCTGCCGCAACTAGCGCGTCTGAGGCGGTGTGATGGATTGCGAGTGCAGCAAAGTCACGGGCCGGCCGGGCGGCGGTGGCTGGCAGTGCCAGCAGCTCGGACCACACACAGTCTGGGCGCTGCAAGGCGAGGATCCGGCCGTCGCGAGTTGCGGCGACGTATGATGCGTCAGGCAGGGCGGCGAGGGCGCGAATGGTGTTGGTGCCATCGCTGCCCACGCGAGGTGAGTGCGTGGTGCTCTCGCGCAGAATGCGAGGCTGGTCGAGAGGCCAGAGCTTGATGCCGCCGTCGCCGCCTGCAGTGGCAACGACGCCAAGCCGAGGGGAAACAGCGGCGCGCCAGATGTTTTTGCCGACGTGAGATGACCACAAGGCGGTACACTCGGCCAGCTCGCCGTCTAGCGAAGCCGGGGTGGAAGCGTTGAGCCGCCACATTGCTGCGAGCACGTCTTCACCGACCGTAATGGCGTGGGTCGGCAGCTCGCCTGGAGATGGGACCACAAAGGCCACATCGCAGACCCGCGCCGAGTGGCCTGCCAGCCGAGCCAGGCACGACCAGGTCGCCGGCCTCGTCTCGGCGTGAGATGGCACCCAGATCCGTCCGAGGCGGTCGTCCGAGGCGACCGCAAGGAGCCGGCCGCACGGCGACCAGAGAACGTTGGCAATGGCGCCGCATCCGCGGTTGCCCTGGCCTACCACAACAGACTCAACGTGGTCAGCGTCCAGCACGATGGGCGTGCCCGGCTCGGCCGGCAGTGGAGGCAGGCGCCAGACGTTGACGTCGCCAAACGCCGAGCCGACAGCAACCACGATAGCATCACGAGAGGGGGCAAAGATCGATGTAGCGTACAGGATGCACCAGTCGGCGACAGTGTACTGAGCGAGGAGCACCAGCGGCGCAGTGGCCGGCAGCACCGCGCCCGAGGCAAGGGTCACGACAGGCGACGGCGGACACAGCGCAGCGGCGGCAGAAGCCAGTGTGGCCGCCAAATCAGCAACCAGAATGCGCGACGATGCAAGGGCGATGACCAGCGCACCGTCGCCCGCAACAGCCACATCGGTGACAAAGTCACGCAGCGAGGTGCAGAACACGAGGTCGAGTGCTGGCGGATCGACCGTGAGCGCGAGAGCGGCGACAAACTTGCCGCCGGCGGCAACAATCAGCGCATCAGCACCGGAAGGGGTCACATCCGTGTGGCGGGAAATGGCCAGATGATGGAGTACCGAGCCGCGGAGGAGGTCGACCTGTGCGAGGACCGAGTCGCCTCGCCCGGCTGCGGGGTCGACTAAGGCGAGTGTCGAGCCCGGCGCGGCAAGAAGCCACGGGGGGAGCGGGGGTGGAAGAAAGGCAAGTGCGCGGGCGGGCGTGTGGTTGGCGGTGGGGACGATGGAGGCCATACGGCCTGGAACGGGTGGCAGCGGAGACGGTGGGAGAGGTGGTTTTATTGCGGCTGCGTGGTGGTGGTGGGTGGGGGGGGGAGGGGGGAGGGAGGGGAGGGAGGCGGTCCGGTAGTTTGGGTCCGGGCCGG